CCCACCCCACCCCCAGCTTGTTCATACCCGATGATGACCCTAAGCCAAGAAGTTGGTTCCTCTGGGAACTGTAACCCAATCCCTCTTGTCTTACTCGTTCGTTACTCAACGCTGCTTTTTCTCCACTCTCCCAACAGCTGATGACAGTTCGGACTATTACAGGGAATATCTACTACGCAAGGTCAGGAACGAAAATTGTTGGGAAGGTTCATGAGAAGTTTACACTGATTGATGGCATCCGAGTGGCAACAGGCTCCTACAGGTATGTTTTGAACGTGCCCCTTGCTTATGAATTTCAACTCGCTAGAAGATGCGGGTCATGTATAGCTAAAAGCTTACATTTTCTCTCTCTCATTGAGCCCCTTTCTGTCTCAAGCATTCCTATGTGAGGGACTGAGGGAGGTGGTCGAGGTACGGATCTCTTCTCCCTCCCTGATGTCCAGAGATGGAAACTCTCCTCAAGCCAACAGTGAGCGAGTCCCAGGGGCAAGTTTCCATCCAGCCCCCGAGACTTGAGTTGGGTCTTAATAGTGCCAGAAACATGGTGGGGGAGGTGGGGGGGATCCTGGTTGCTCAGGGATTCTGACTTGCCCTGACTTGCCTACTTGCCCTTGCTCACTTGAAGGCAAGGAGCTCATCCATGATCCAAAGAAGATACCCTGCCACCATCGAGTAGATGCCAATTCGCAGCCACTCTGTATGTATTTCCACGGCAGTGAATCTTTACAGGAGCAGGCAGCCTCTACTTTCTCCCAAGGAGAGACTGGTGGGCTTGAAGTGCCAGTCTTGTGGTTAGTCCAGGACTTACCTGACAGGGCCACCAGGGCTCCTTGAAAGAACCAGAACCAACTCACTGCCATTGAGTTGCTTCCAACTCATGGTGGCCTTGAGGGCAGAACTGCCCCTATGGGTTTCCGAGACCGTAACTCTTTCAGGGAGTAGAAACCCCCGTCTTTCTCCCTCTTTGAAAACATCATGTTTTCTATCAGAGCAACCCTGGGCTGCTCGTGACACCAGGCCTTTCCTCTGGGGCTGGGGGCTGCAGAATGAGACAGCTCTGGCTCACCCTGGGGGAGAGGAAATCAGGAAGCTATCTTCTCTGGTGCATGACCGGGTCACGATTGAACTTGGGTGTTGAAGGCAGAACAGAAGCTCTCATCTTTAGACTTAAACCCTTCACTCTGCTTCCTGCCTTGTAATTTAGCGCTTTAGTCTAGAAAATTCCGATCTAGGTTTCTGACCCCACCTTTAGAGTCTCAGGTTGGCGGTGGCATCTTCAGGCTGAGGGCACCGGGAAGTTGAATAGAGGGTGGGGATAATGAGTGGTTCACACTAATCTTCAGATGTTGAGCTGCGCCGTTTTAACTGATGTGGCTCCAGCGGTGGTGTGATTTGCCGCCTCTACATTAGGTTGTCTGAGGGTGTTCATGGGGTGTGCCTGGAGAGTGTAAGACACACACATTTTTGAAGAAGCACACATTCCAGAGTGATAATTAGGTGTTAGCCCTGGGTAAAGGTGGGAATTGGAAGGTTTGTAAAAGACGAGGAACTAGGGGGTTATGAAACCCGACACCTTTCTTTTCAAATAGTACCAGCTCTGCGATCAAACAGCCCTTTCTGGAGACGCGCATGCCAAGTTCACAGATGGTAGAGAGAAATGCCATTTTGACCCAATGTAGGATTTATCCATAGGAATCAAACCAAGCTCCAAATGGTTTTTGGCTGCTCTAAAATCATAAGGTAGAAAAACTACACCCTATAAATGAGAATATGTTCTGTTTTTTTCTTTATCAAGGAAAGCTTTGTTGTGTTTTCAGTGAAAGTTGACACACAGATTCGAGTTTCATTAAACAACTTCTATACAACTTGTTTAGTGACATTGGTTACATTTTTTTCCCCCAATCTAAAAGAAAGCAGACAATAATTTAAAAAAAAGTAGAACAAATGAAGTTTGGATTAAAAGGGAAAGCTATTGATAAGATGTTAAATTTTAAACTGATGGCATAGTGTGTTTCATGTTGGCCTGCTAACCACAAGGCCAGCAGTTCAAAACCATCAGCCTCTCTAGTGGAGAAAGTTGAGGCTTTCTACTCCTATAAGGAGTTATAACCTCTGAATCCCACAGGCCACTTCTACCCCAATCTATGGGATCACGATGAGTCAGAATTGACTTGAAGACTGAGTTTTTGCTTTTGAAAACTGTATCTGCAGTGTTTCATTTTCTGCTCTACTCTGTGTGGGGGCAGGGCTTTCAGTGGTCTGCCAGTATTCCATGGAGGCTTATTCCTTGTGGGGTCTCCGCAAATGGGGTCATCCATAGCCTTCTGCACCCCGAGTACTCAGAATTTAAACTCTGGTCCGAAGCTGTGGTACCATCGGTGATCCTGATGCTGATGATGGTGTCTGCTGAGGATCTTTTTGAACAGGCACTGGGTGGGAACTCTGCTTACCTGATCCCATTGGAGGTTTGCAAAAGAGCATTCCTACTCAAGCTCTGAAAGAGGTTCTCAAAGTGGAATCTGCCCGAGCCAGGATTCTTGTTTGCAAAAGAGAGAGAGTTGCTCCCTTGTTGAAAGCATCCTGTTCTTGGCACACATTCTTGTACCAAGGGGGCGAATGCATGTGTAAGAGAGCTAACCCCCCAACTATTTTATGCAAAAAGAAATGACTGGGTCACAGAACTTGGAAGCAAAGAGAGGCATTCACGTTGGCACTCCGCTCAACTCGGCCCTGCTTTGCTCTGCGTGGCCATTATGCTCAGGAATTGTATCCACTGGAAGTGAAGACCCAGGCTTAGGTGGCCGTTAGCAGCTATTTGCAGAAGAGAGCGAATCCCTTAGTCTCAGCACTACTGTCTGTTTCTGGAAAGTTACTTCACTCTAGGTGGTTGGCAGACCCGCTCAGGATGAGTTTCCACCTTCGGGAGGACAGGAGGCTCTGACCAGCCTGGGTCATGGTCCCCCTGGTGTGGATGGAGAGGGTGCTTAAAGGAAAGGGTTCGCAGGTAGGATGGCCATCATAGGAAGAGAAGGGATGCTTGACACACAGCCAGGTGGCCCCTGCTCAGCCCTAAATGTGTTTTGTTCCATGGCCTAAGTGCTGGAAGAGCCCCGAAGGAAGCAAGGAGCCCTGCCCTAGCCACGAATTCCTCAGGACAGGAGCCCAACCATGGGCCCACCCTGCCTTCCCAGGATGATGTCACCAGCCACTTGCCTACTGGACCAAATCGCTTTCTAATGTGTGAAAATGCCGAGGCTGTGGCTGAATAGGTTTTCTCATCTGGGTAGGCACTTAGCCCTTTTTATTATTATTGTTGTTATCATTGGCAGTTTTCCCTTTTAACTTTTATGCTAACCCATGGATGGGATATACACGTTACTCAAAATTCACTGCCGTCGATTCTATTCCAGCTCACAGCGACCCTGTAGGGCCGAGTAGCACTGCTCCTGGGGGTTTCTGAGACTCTTCCTCTTTAAGGAAATGGAAAACCTCACCTTTCTCCCGCAGAGTAGCTGGTGGTTTCAAACTGCGGGCCTTGTGGTTTGCAGCCCTGAGCGTAACCCACTTTGCCACCAGTGCTCCTTAAGTGCCTGGTAAGGCTAGTTCAAGTCACAAGGAAACGGTAGGTGTGCTACCACCACGGTTTTGATACCTGGACTTTATTTTGCCGATTGACAATCAGTAAACCAAAATTGCTGATGAGCTTGTTTGCTTTTTGTTTTGTTTTGCTCCTGAAGTTTCACGTGGACGGATGGCAAGTTAAACAGCAGTAACTTGGTCATCCTGTCTGGCCAAGTGGTTGAACACTTTGACTTGGAGTTCCGGATTCTGTATGCGCAGTCCAAGCCCATCAGCTCCAAACTCCTGTCCAGCTTCCGGATCAGCGGCAAGTTTGACCATCTTGTCGACCCGAAGCCACTCTCCAAGGAACTCACGCTGGGCAACCTGCTGAGGCTGCGGCTGGCCAGGCTGTCGAGCAGTCCCAAGAAGCCTGGCCTGGAGCCAGAGGTGCCCGCAGAGGGCAGGGCAGAGGCCAAGCGCCACGACTCCGAGTCCTCAACCATCAGCGAGGAAGACTATTTAAACAGCCACAAGGACTCGCTTGAAAGCCGAAGGGGAACTGATGTCGCCACTCAGACGGAGCCTGGGGAAGAGGGGCCCGTGGTGCATGTCAGTGACGCGGGGACACAGACCAGCATCGGCACAGCCTGCACCGGGACCCAAACCACAGTCGCCACCCGGGGAGCCAGCTCTCAGACCATGATCTGCTCCAAGTCGACCCCCACCCAGACGGACGCGGATGAGAAGGAGCTCTGCTCTCAGGGAACTCAGTCTAAAGAGGGGTCGCCGGTGTCCCGAATGTCAATATCCAGGTCCTCCAGCCTGAAGTCTTCCTCGTCTTTGTCTTCCCAGGGCTCAGTGGCAAGCTCTGTCGGCTCCCAGTCTTCCATGAGAGCCCCTGACTTCCATACTCCTGGCTATCCAAAGTACCTGGGCACCCCCCACTTGGATATGTACTTACGGGACTCCTTCAGAAACCTGAATAAAGAGAGGCAGTTTCACTTTGCGGGGATCAGGTCCCGCCTCAACCACATGCTGGCCATGCTCTCCAGGAGAACATTCTCGACGGAAACCTACCTGGGCTTCGGTCCGGGCCATTTTCACAGAGGGCCAGTTCCCTTGCTCGCGCTCCGGGACGGAGCCCTCTACCCCATGTATCAGTGACTGTTCAGCGTGCAGCGGGCTCTGGCTCCAGCCAGGCACCCACGAGGCGTCACCAGAACTTCCTGCTGGAAAACAGCTCTCGCACCCCTAACTGCTTGCTTTTTTTACCTCTAAAAGCCACCTTTTTGGTTGCCCAGACTGGTTTCAAATTCTATAAACGGTATATTGTTTTATGGCTCTTGCTTTATTTCTGTCATGTCTAAGTCAGATATTAGTGTGCTACAAATGGTGAACACGCTTGACAGCGAACCCAATAGGTGGGAGGTTTGAGCTCACCCAGAGGCAGCTCAGAAGGAAGGCCTGGCGATCTCCTTCCAGACATCCAGCCATGGGTCATCTGTGGACGGAGCACAGCTCCGCTCGAGCACAGGGTGCTGCCACAGGCAGCTGACTCGATGGTCATGTCGCTCGCTTTGTTGGTTTTACTTAAAACAAAGTGTCGGTTTTACAGTTTAAACACTAAAGGTACAGTTTAAAAAAAGGTTTTTTTGCACAATTTCCACATTGATGTTTCTGAAAGAGAATGCTGGCGTTCCAGATAAAGGATGCACTAGGCTCTGCGATTTGTCGGGCTATGTGAGCGCTCTTCTGTTTCGGAGGTTTGACCCACTAGTCTTTGTAAGATCAAAGTTCTTAGAAAACCAAGTGTCTGGTTCCCTCATCTGTAGAATATATATGTTCTCAGTACAAATAAATACTTGCATGGACAACTATTGCTTGGCCATTGACTTTTTCTTGTTAATGCTAGGACTAACTCACAAACACTGAGTAGGTGTTTCTGCTTTGAAAATGTGTGTGTTTTGGGAGAAGACAATTCAAGTTGTAGGAGGGAAAACACCACTTCATAGTTGGATACGAAGCTGGCCTCTTGCTTAGCAATATGAATAGTAATGTTACCACCTCTGTAGTCTGAGAGAGGGACTTGGCTGGAAAGGCCAGTCTCTCTGCCTCTGCTCTAGCTTTTTAATTGTGTCCTCAAATTTTAAAACGTGTGCTATTTGGACCAGGACCGTGATTCTCTACTCTGAGGCAGAGGCGGCCTTGCTGTATTCCTGGATTCCTCTTGATACTCACCGTGGTGGCCTCCTGGGCTTCATTTCATCAGCTGGGTGTACTGACAGGGTGTAGCAATCGAATGAGGAGGGGCAGAGGACACTGACAATTATCTCAGATTCCTGGTCCAGTGGTAGGCAATGTATCAGGTTTCTACACCCTGCTAATCAGGACTGGTGTGGCTGTGGAATCCTGTTTTTGACTCTCATTCGCCTGGACAGACAAAAGGAAGAGAATTAAGTGTCGCCTTCCTCCTCTTGGCTGGAACAAGAGAAATCAATAGTAGGCCAGGGCGTTGCCCACCTTGGATGCTGAAGGACCCTGCTCAGGAGCAGCAGACTCTACCAGGGCCAAGCTCATTGCCTGGTTAGGGCTGTAACTGGAGACTGGGGCAGACATAAATAAGGAAGCCGGCCCGGCTGTAAACAACTGGCCTCTGCTTAGAATAAACATTGTACTTAGAGCCTTTTTATAGGTTTAGATCACTTTCATCTGTCCTCTTTATGATCCTCACAGCAATGTAAAAGGAGAGCTATGCACAGGTTGGACAGCAGTTGCTCAGACTAAGCAGCATCATCGAGGTCATGTAGTCCATAAATGGTGACCATCGAGTCGCTGCTGACTCAGTGACCTTGTAGGACTGGGTAGAACTGTCTGAGTTTTCAAGACCGACTCCACAGAGGTGGCAAGCCCCATCTTTCTCCTGAGGAGCAGCTGGCGGTTTCAAACTGCTGACCTTGTAGTTGGCAGCCCGCCTTGTAACCACTGTGCCACCAGGGGCTCCTATAATTGGTGACACAGGATTTGGACAGGTGATGCCTGGGTCTAGGTGGAGTCCTCTGCTCTGTGACTGTTTCCCTGCATAGGGCCTGAGGGACTCAAGGCTGGACTTAAGAGACATGGCAGATCATGCAATGCAGCTCAAACATAAGAGCTTATCCTCATTCACACATTTAGACACAAAGCCCTAAACTTCGGTGAGAAAGCATTTTAATGCATTTTGAAATCGTAACGCTGTGTGTTCCACCAAGTGATAATAAGCATCGCATGTTCCGCATGAGACCTGCTGGGTCCCATCAGTTTAAGAGCTTTTCACTGCAGGGCCTAATCACATTGGCGTCCAAGACAATCTAAGGTGCAGGGAGTGTAAATGAAGTTCCTGTGAGTTACGAGCTGCACGGGAGAAACCTACGAGGCTACAAGTGCATGCCCTGGTGACTTCTACATTTATTCAGAGTGGCCCACTTAGTTCACCTGAAGCTTCCTGTGGCCCAGACAGAGACACCTGGCCAGGTGTGCCCTCAGTGATGACCAAACAAATGCAGGCAGAGGAAGAACCATTATTCCTCTTGGGGCTAAAATCGGGTAAGGATTTCTCACAAAGACACTCCCATAAAAATGATGCCGTGAAGCACTGAAGATGGCAAGATCCTGATGATAAAGGCATTGACAGTGCTGAGACGTGCCCAGACACTGCTCTCTACAAGGGCTCAAAGCAGTAAATGAGTTGAATGTTCAGACATACTCTATAAGCATGCAATATGTACCATAAGCTGATTATGTCCAGGTAAGCACCAGTCATCTAGTTTTCACCAATGCCACACACCTAGAAACGTGCCCAGTTTGCCTGGCAGAGCCCCGCTTTATGCCTGCTGTCCCCACACCCGTTTGGTTAATACCCCTCACGCTCACCACTGCCTCTGGACACCAAATCGAATGCTCGTCCTATTAGAAAGCTCTTCAAAGATCTTTGTTCCCAACTCGTCCAACTCCAGATGTGCATGTTCCTTAGGTCAACACGACAGGTTCCTCTGGTTGCCGAATCCATTTTCTACTGGCTCTCTCTGCACCTCTACCCATATCCTCAAAGCTAAGTAAGTGCTTTCGCTGATGCTAGTACACGTGTGAACTTGATCACCTGTGTGCAAGCCAACAAACCAGAGGGTTTTACATGTTACAACAGGCTGCAGAGTGCTACCTCTTAGCCTCTGTGTCAAATCCCAGGATGATGCAATTCAGTAAAAGCAATTCTGCAATGACTTTTTTTTTTTAAAAAAAGGTGTTATGTGCAGTTGGAGACATGCTGGGCCAAATCCATTTAATCGGTTCTGTACTGCTGGGCAGCTCTGATGTGGAATGTCTTAGAGGGCACAGTCAAGACTATTCTTGGGGTGCTAACAGTTTTGGCACATGGCTACAATGGACACCTGTTCTGTTTGCTGCATTCATTCATTCATGCAATTACCCTCTGACCATCTTCTACAGATTTCCCTCTGGGAATCACCTTGTTCCCAACTCTTAGCCCACAGGGTTTAGTGAAGACAGAAGAGGACCCACCTCTGATTCTGGGGGTGGAGCTTGTGTCCTGGTCTAAACCAATCAGCTGAAGTATTTCCTGGCCTTGGTGATTGATTTACAGAGGCAGTGGTGGGTAGGCAGTCAAGTCCCAGCCTTTCCAGGCCTGTGGTTTGATTTCCGGCCAATAGACCTCACGAGTAGCTTCTACCCATGTGTCAATGGTGGCGGGCTGAACAAGTTTCTACCAATGTTTCATGCTGTTGTGCCTGGGGCTCCCACGAACAGAGGCTGGCTTGGTGGCAGCTAACAACAGTGATTGATTCAGAATGGCTTATGCGCCCTCAGATTTTTGCCAGCAGTTTTTGGAGAGGGGGTTGATGCCTGAGGGGACGCGGTGGCTGGAGTACACGTGGCCATCTTGTTGGCACGTGACACTGTGTCAGAAGGCAAAATGATAAAGATCAGAAAGGAGGTCTGCTTACATTGTGTGCATACAAGCTGTGTCTCTTGCCAGAACAACTCTTGGGCTTTTTGGATTATGTGAGCCTGTTTTGCTTAAGCAAGGTTGGGCTGGGTTTTATACCACTTAAACCTTCAAAAGCCTTACCGGTACAAATATGGGAATACCTAATTTCAGGGGCTCCCAGAACACGGCCACGAGGGTTCATTTTGGAAACATTTCAAAGCTGAAAGGACAAATCACCTCCCACAGGCCTAGAAGACTTTTTAGAGCAGCGGTTCTCAATCTTCCTAAGGCCTCGACCCTTTCATACGGTTCCTCATGTTGTGGTGACCCCCAACCATAACATGATTTTCATTGCTACTTCATAGCTGTCATTTTGCTAGTTATGAATTGTCCTGTAAATATCTGATGTAGGATGTATTTTCATTGTTACAAATTGAACATAATTAAACAAAATTAAAGCATAGTGATTAATCACAAAATAATATGTAATTATATATTGTGAAATATTTATGTGTTTCCCGGTGGTCTTAGGCCACCCCTGTGAAAGGGTCGTGCGACCCCCAAAGGGATCAGCAACCCACAGGTTGAGAACCACTGTTTTAGAGCTTACCCGGGAGATGTGATGTGGAGGAATATTATCTTTCTGGTAAACCTTGGAAGTTGCAGAAAATGATCAAACTTTTATGAACTGCTGACCAGCGAACTACCTAAACCCAAGGGTCATCTCAAGAAGTAACGGTCTTCATGTTGAGTCTAAGATAGCCCTGGCCATTCTTTCTGAAAACAGTGAAACAGGAAGAACACGAGTATTGAAACGATTCCTACTGTGTGACAGCGAAAACCACCGTAACATCTAGCTTCTTGCTGAGGCGTTTCATTATGAGATGTCAATGTAAGCAAACCACCCAGTAGGGGCCGTTGGGCTATGAGAACTGTCTGAGGCAGACAGACTCATCCTCATCCTGGAGAACTCAGCACTAAGGGTTTTAAATGGTCCCATCTGGTTGAAAAACCAATGGCCAGGAAATGAGAGTCCGAGTGCTTCTAGTTTCCATCCTAAGGTTAAGGATGGCTCAGTGACGCAAAATCTTTATCATCCCCACGGACCTCCATTTTCTTTGATCTAAACTAAGGTGCTGGCAGGATCTCCCTCCTTCGGCTTTAAGATTATGCTGGTAAATGGGGGACGGGTAGCTTACAGTCTCATTGTAAAGAGGAAGGTTTCTTCATATAAGGTATGAGAGTTTTCTCATGAGATGACAATCATCCCCAGGAATGAGGCCGCCAAAAGGAAGGGCATGGTGACTCTCCCATCTGGCTGCCCACAATAACTCAACAGCAGAGATGGTGGCCGTGCCAAGGTCTGGGTGCCACCTACCACCGAGACCTAGATGTGGTGTTGCTGATGCTGCCTGAGAAATTGAGGCTGCTGTACAGACACCTGGAAGGTCTTAGGACAGTTTTTTTCTGGGCTCCCATTATGAAATGAGGGTTGTTGTGTGCTGTATTGGCTGACATGGCCAGACCTGCAAAAAACAAACAAACAAACAAACAAACAAAACCCAGCACAGTACCATCTGTGGTTTGGATGACTATGGGGCTTATTCAGTCAAGGTGCTCCCTTGGCATTACTGTATTCAAAAAAACTAAAGTCTGCTTGCTGTGCTTCTTTGTGGGAGCAGCAGGAGTCTCTCAGCTCCTTCATAGTTGGAGGTAGAACCAAAAACTAAAAGCAAACAACGAGTTCCTGGTCACCAGGACAATCTAGATGTGACCATAACCCCTGGACCTGGTTTGATTTACTATTTATTGATAAGGTGATGCTGAACCATGTTAATGTCTGCAAGATTGTGTTAGTCTGGGGAGACTAGAGAACCAAATCCATAGAAACTCATG